GGGAGAGGGGAGCGGGGAGGTTGGGGGAAAAATGAGAAGCTGATGCCAAGGGCTTAAGGGAAGCAAATGTTTTGGGAATGATGAAGGCAACAAATGTACAAATGTGCTTTAACCAATTGATGTATGTGTGGATTGATAAGAATTGTATGAGCCCCCAATAAAATGATAAAAAACAAGCAAACCAACTCCTTTTGTTTCCATTGCAGTGAACTTCCTCCTGCACTCCCAGCAGCTGTGCTCTGCTGGGCTTCTTTGGGGATCATCCTCATTTACTTTGATGGGTGTTTCCTCCATCAAACTCCTCTTTCAGACCAGAAGACATATTTCTGTGGAAAAAAGCTTGAGACCTTTCAAGAGACCCATTCAAGAGACCTTTCGAGCACCTCAGCAGTTACTGTATCTTCACCTAATACTTCCTTTCATTCTCCTTTGCTGGTCCTGCTGCCTTGGTCTAGAACTTAGACTTGGGTTATCCCACTGGAACTCAGTTGTCCCCAGTCTTGATGAGTCTCTTACTCACAGTCAGATTCTCAGTATTGACTTGCCCTGGTTACTATATAATGCTATTCATGCTGTGCTGTAAGGACTTATCTCGGCTTCTGTACTATGTCCACCTCTCAGGCTGAGTCTGAAACCTGGAATAAATCATACTCACTACCAAAGGAAAGTTTGGAACAATATTGAGCATGAGAGTTCATGAGGCATGAACATTGGTGGCCCCCTGGTACCTAGACAGTTTTGTTTTTGTCATAGATTGATCCTTAAGAAACAGTTGTCGATAGTGGGGTGGTTGTGGAGCCAGAAGAGGGACTTGGCAAGGGATAAATATAAGACCATTTGGAGTGGCGAGCAGGATACAGAGGGTGTACCATAATACTCCTTGGTTAAGTTTCTTTCCAAGATTCTGGTAAGATGAGAATTTTTCACATGAGAATTAAATATATATATACATCATATAGCCTCCTAAAGACCAGAATCTCTCATTGGCATGATATGCCATGACTGTTAAAATAATGAAACTTATTGTGATATGCAACAGAAGTTCTGATTTCCCCCCGAAAACCTACTTAGTTGGAACCATTGCAGATATCATACCATTCCATAGTTCAATCACATCCTGCAATATTGTCCAATCGCTACTATGACCAGCTG